ATGGAGCGTTCGTGACAAAACAGTTGTGCTAGTTTTTTGAAAATGGCGCATTCGTTACAAACTGTTGTGTTAGAATCAGGTAAATCATTCTTCTATCATTTGAGAAAAGTATTTGCTTTTTTAGGTGGGAACTATTGCTCGTGTCTTTAAATTCTTGAAATAACAACTTTAAAAGGAAATTGACAGTAGGAAAACACAAGAATTATTTTATCGTAAGACAAACAGATAAATATTTTTAAAACGCATTGGTGAAGTGAAATTTCTGTTTTTCATTTTACTTTTACACATGGAAATAAGATGTTAGAGCAAAAAACAATAATGAAATGAAAATAATTGTGCCATTTATTCGTCACCGGTGTAACTTTAAGTGCCGCTTAAATGTCCAAAGCGGAGTGAATGTCCTTATGGTGCAATGAAAAGGTTATTAATGTAACACGGTAAACTTTAATCTACTCTGCGTGTGGACTATCAATCCCCAAAGTTGGCCGCACCATCGTAGCTGAACTTTATCAAGACACGGTTTACAAGAAATAGTGGCTTGGGATAAAACTATTAGTTTTAGTCAAAAGTTGTAAATTTGCAACAAAAAATGGGGACTTTTAGTTATCTTTTCCGTTTCGCCTTATTTCTACATTTATTTCGGAACACCCTTTGGACTCTTAACATTCTTAGACCTTTAGTACCAAATAGACAAAATAGCCATGTAAACGAGATTCGGTATTTAAATAAAATAAAATGTTGACTTAATTGGCATTCGTAACACTTAATTAGGTTGTCATAAATCTTACCTCTGGTACCACTGCTTACTCCGAAATGAATGAAAAATGTCACATCTTGCAGTAAAAATTGTTTACTTTCTTTGTTTTTTGCATCGACAAAATGTTTAAATATAATATGTGCCTCCATACTTGTACTGTTGTTCTAGTACTAATGTATAGGAATTAAAATTACAAAACTTAATTAAAGTATTCCGAGTAAAATTTGTCGTTGATCAATATTTCCCTGCTGTAGTTGCGAACGCCGGATTTTAAAGTCGTTCTGTCCTGATGTTTATGATATAGAGCATGGATATAGAGATTGGATTCCCTTACTGTTTTGGTTACAGTACACTAGAATTAAAAGGATAAAGGTTACCTTTCCTGTTTTGGTTACATTAGACTAAAATTAAAGGGATAAAGATTAACTTTCCTGTTTTGGCTACACTAGACTAGAATTAAAAGGATAAAGATTACCTTTCCTGTTTTGGTTACATTAGACTAGAATTAAAGGGATAAAGATTACCTTTCCTGTTTTGGTTACACTAGACTAGAATTAAAAGGATAAAGAGTACCTTTCCTGTTTTGGTTACATTAGACTAAAATTAAAGGGATAAAGATTAACTTTCCTGTTTTGGCTACACTAGACTAGAATTAAAAGGATAAAGATTACCTTTCCTGGTTTGGTTACATTAGACTAAAATTAAAGGGATAAAGATTACCTTTCCTGTTTTGGTTACACTTCACTAGAATTAAAAGGATAAAGATTACCTTTCCTGTTTTGGTTACACGAGACTAGAATTAAAAGGATAAAGATTACCTTTCCTGTTTTGGTTACACTAGACTAGAATTAAAAGGATAAAGAGTACCTTTCCTGTTTTGGTTACATTAGACTAAAATTAAAGGGATAAAGATTAACTTTCCTGTTTTGGCTACACTAGACTAGAATTAAAAGGATAAAGATTACCTTTCCTGGTTTGGTTACATTAGACTAAAATTAAAGGGATAAAGATTACCTTTCCTGTTTTGGTTACACTTCACTAGAATTAAAAGGATAAAGATTACCTTTCCTGTTTTGGTTACACGAGACTAGAATTAAAAGGATAAAGATTACCTTTCCTGTTTTGGTTACATTAGACTAGAATTAAAAGGATAAAGATTACCTTTCCTGTTTTGGTTACACTAGACTAGAATTAAAAGGATAAAGAGTACCTTTCCTGTTTTGGTTACATTAGACTAAAATTAAAGGGATAAAGATTAACTTTCCTGTTTTGGTTACATTAGACTAAAATTAAAGGGATAAAGATTAACTTTCCTGTTTTGGTTACATTAGACTAAAATTAAAGGGATAAAGATTAACTTTCCTGTTTTGGTTACATTAGACTAAAATTAAAGGGATAAAGATTAACTTTCCTGTTTTGGTTACATTAGACTAAAATTAAAGGGATAAAGATTAACTTTCCTGTTTTGGTTACATTAGACTAAAATTAAAGGGATAAAGATTAACTTTCCTGTTTTGGTTACATTAGACTAAAATTAAAGGGATAAAGATTAACTTTCCTGTTTTGGTTACATTAGACTAAAATTAAAGGGATAAAGATTAACTTTCCTGTTTTGGTTACATTAGACTAGAATTAAAAGGATAAAGATTAACTTTCCTGTTTTGGTTACATTAGACTAAAATTAAAGGGATAAAGATTAACTTTCCTGTTTTGGTTACACTAGACTAGAATTAAAAGGATAAAGATTAACTTTCCTGTTTTGGTTACACTAGACTAGAATTAAAAGGATAAAGATTAACTTTCCTGTTTTGGTTACACTAGACTAGAATTACTAGACTAAAATTAAAAGGATAAAGATAACTGTTTTGGTTACACTACACTAGAATTAAAAGGATAAAGATTACCTTTCCTGTTTTGGTTACATTAGACTAAAATCAAAGGGATAAAGATTACCTTTCCTGTTTTGGTTACACTAGACTAGAATTAAAAGGATAAATATTACCTTTCCTGTTTTGGTTACACTAGACTAGAATTACTAGACTAGAATTACTAGACTAGAATTAAAAGGATAAAGATAACTGTTTTGGTTACACTTCACTAGAATTAAAAGGATAAAGATTACCTTTCCTGTTTTGGTTACACTACACTAGAATTAAAAGGATAAAGATTACCTTTCCTGTTGGTTTTCAAAAAGGACTAGAATTTCCAAGTGCAGAAGTGTCATTCGATTTTCTAAATGAGTTGATATGGGTGTTAGGACGACGTTGATAAAACCTATGATTTACATCAATAGCCACATGTAGCAAAATTCCTATTCACACCCTGATAGACCAACTCTTTGCGATATGTTGATCTATTAACGCCTCCTCAGCATCCCTAGCAGCCTTTAATCAGACGTACACCACAAACATCTCCTTTGAAGGTTTTGTTTGTTTGTGTTTTACGTCCTATTAACAGCTTTGGTCATTTAAGGACGTGCCAGGTTTAGGTGGCGGAGGAAAGCCGGCGTTCCCGGAGAAAAAACACCGCCCTACGGCCAGTACCTTGCGACCGCCTCACGTAGGCATCGCACCCGCCATCCAGTGGTGGAGGTCTAGTGGTAGCAGAATGTAAAACGCCTTCACCACCGTTGCAGGTTTAGTAATTTGGTACGGATACTACGTACATTGTATTAAAAAGTAAGTAATCACAGTCATCGTAAAAAAGGGACATTGAGTATCAACAACATTTCACTTTTCAAAATAGATTTTTGGCATTCAATTATTACGTAGAAACGAGAAAGCAATACCTCAAATTGTTTTTTTTTTATTAATTTTCCCAAACATCGGGTTAAAGTTTAACTTGGACCTAGTATAATTTAGTGTTTTGGACCCCCGATCTTACAGATTCAAATTTAAATGTTCTGTCAATTTGCTCCTTTTTGGCATAGTTGCTCTCTTGTTAACTTAAGAGTTAATGGTGGAATAAACTTCATACTAAAGATGAATGTATAGTTATGCTTTTTTAAGTGAAACGTATGTTCAAGGATGTGTTCTATAGTATCTATATCTATATAAGAAAAACCCAACGTGCAAACTTTACCAAAAATTGACTCAATATTCCAATTTTACTAATTGATGCCACTTCCAACTGGTTACCATGACAACCATTATTGAAAACACAATATGTGGTTTTTTAACATTTGAGGGGAAAGAATACAAAAACTAAAAATCAGTAGTTTCAAAATTCAAATCAAACAAAATAAACGTTTGATGGAATTTTGAAACAAATCAAGTTCGAACGATATTTGATAACTTAACATAATCCCCATTATTCTGGTAATCCTTAGTACTAGGAACGGCGTTTTAGTTGCCAAACACCTAGTCTGCTATTAACCGTTAAACGAAATATGTTTTGTGGCTATGTTACTTTTTTCTCTCAAATATTAACAGGACAAATATATTTAGACACTATTATTTCTGAAGTTATCAACAGTTTATCAGCGCTTTAGTCTGCTGCTCCTGTTATACTCAAGTTATTGCCACACAAATGCTCATTCATAGTGTTAAAATGAAGGTTTTTTGCAACAGAAAGTCGGTATTTTACCAAGTATTTCAATATCAAGAAAACTGTGTCCTACAGCACTAAAGAGTCTCTGACGTCACAAAAAAAGAAAATTAGAAAACCCGTGTTTATTGTTTACGACATTTAACTAAGAGGAAATTAAATGTCATTTCCTATTATCATATTGACTCAATGAACTCAGCCATCTTCATTTTTTAGATATCTCTCCATGCTATTAACATGCTCAGTGAAAAAGATTAAAAAAACTGCTTATTATTATCATGTTTTTCGTTTAATGATCCATAGATTTAATATCTAGCAGTTGACTATCTAAACCGGCGAATGACCGTATAAAAAAGGATCCATTGTATATATTGTAATGCTTAATATGAAAAATAATAAAATATTAAAAATTACAACTTCTACATAATTCATAAAAAGATAAAAAGACCAACGAAGCAAAACGTTGAGCATAACTTGTTTATCATATAAGAACAAATGTTGTTATCGCATAAAACGTATTAAAGTAATTTTGTCTAAGAAACTGAATGAAAATGTATTCAAATTTTTTTTTAAACATCTTTAAAACATCCTCCATAGCCAGTACTTACCAATGCTATCTTGTATGAAAAGGAACTTATTGAAAAGGGGGCATCAGTGCCATCCTATTCTTAAAACAAACTATTTTCACAACACGTACCTACCTGTCGTTTGAGAAATGGTCCGAACAAACAAAGAATCTCGAGGTTCTGTACACCACACTATTGCAGACTGTTATCCTGGGTCTCCACTGTCACTGTATGCTGCTGTGTTCACAACAGCTCCGGCTTTTTGTTGGTCGCAGTTAATTATGAGCGGCTGTGTGTAGCTCTCCACCCCCTCAATGGGCGGCGTCCGTGTGCGTAGGCCTTGGATACAGAGGCTTCAGTCGACCGTGGTTGCTGTTGCTGGCTGGCTGGCTGGTGGTTGATACCGGAAATGTTTCAGGATACCAAGGTGTGCTGTTCAACAATGGTACACGACCAGCACCATCAGTCCGTGCTGTCTCCTATAGGGAGTGATCATGAATCATATTACCTCTATAGCGTACCGTTACATAGTACACGATTGTTTAACAGAGGAAACTTGATGAACTAATGTCTCAGGTGTCCCTAGTATGTTTTGACTAACTCAGTTCCTGATAGTATTTTTGTTTTTACGTAGGTTTACGATCGGATCATCTTGTTACAGATATGTTCTATATTACCACAGAGCGACGAGCTTAACACATAGGAGGATTGCAGGACACGGTTGTTTGCATCCTTAGGGTTACATTAAATTCAGACCCAGCAGCACTTATCTATCTAGTTATCGTGAACACCTGGTATCTATGATTTCTGGGGAAAAAACTTACCCAAAAGAACTTTTTTGATTACAAGACCGTGACCGTAAAAAGTCACTGAAACGTTTTTCGCCCCTGTTTAAGCATTTGAATGGAAAGTAAACTGGATTATCTAAGTTTAAGTAACGGCCAGCTGTCCAGTAAAATCGTCAGCCCCGACATTAGTTGTAGAATTCTTAAAAGCTAAAGTCTGTGCCTGTTACACTTGATCATACAAGTATGGATTCCGTAGAGTATTTACCGTTGGTATGGCATACCCTACGAGGAGGTTTTGGTGGTTTGTGACAAATACAACCATATATAAACCTGTACAAATCAGGATTATATAGTGTATACCGTTATAAATATATATTTCAACGAGATTTCATCATACAAGTTTCCTTTCAATATATTTCTATTTAAAAGAATAATGACTTAGTACGTATTGCAGTTTCCAGTTTTGAATTGATTCTACTAAAATTATTTAGATATATCCCATACTTATATACATACGAATATTTCTTAACAGTGGAATTAAGTAATAACATGCTTTTCTTAGCATTATTTGCAATTGTCCTAGGTTTTGTGTAGAGAAATGAAGCAATTGCATCAAGCTAGTGTTTCTGTAACAACGCCAAAATGATGGCCAATGTTGTGTTTCAGTGACGAGTTTGGTCTCTATAGGTCTTGGCAGACCGCCCATATATAGTCGGAACAGTCTCGGAAATGGTGATTCCATGTAATTGGAAGGGGACGTGCACATTGTTGTGACAAAACACATAACTTACTTGTGGATTATCGTAGATCGCAACAATAGTCGAAATTATACATTATTACCATAAGTTTTTTTGATCTGATTTGTTGAAATAACACCACGTGATATGCTACAATTCTATTTATACCTTAAGCAAACACATTTGACTCTTTTATGAAATAGAGTCCAATATCAACGCCTCGTAAGTCCAATGTCACTCTGTCGTGCTTCCAATGTCACTCTCTCTATCGTGAGTCTATTGCAACTCCAGAATGAGTCCAATGTCACCCTGTGTTTAGTCTAATATCACACTAGTATGTGTCCGATGTCACCCTGTGTTTAGTCTAATATCACACTAGTATGTGTCCAATGTCACCCTGTGTTTAGTATAATATCACACTAGTATGTGTCCAATGTCAACATGTGTTTAGTCTAATATCACACTAGTATGTGTCCAATGTCACCCTGTGTTTATTCTAATATCACACTAGTATGTGTCCAACGTCACCCTGTGTTTAGTCTAATCTCACACTAGTATGTGTTCAATGTCACCCTGTGTTTAGTCTAATATCACACTAGTATGAGTCCAATGTCACCCTGTGTTTAGTCTAATCTCACACTAGTATGTGTCCAATGTCACCCTGTGTATCACCCTAGTATGTGTCCAATGTCAACCTGTGTTTAGTCGAATATCACCCTAGTATGTGTCCAATGTCAACCTGTGTTTAGTCTAATCTCACACTAGTATGTGTTCAATGTCACCCTGTGTTTAGTCTAATATCACACTAGCATGTGTCCAATGTCAACCTGTGTTTAGTCGAATATCACCCTAGTATGTGTCCAATGTCACCCTGTGTTCAGTCTAATATCACCCTAGTATGTGTCCAATGTCAACCTGTGTTTAGTCGAATATCACCCTAGTATGTGTCCAATGTCACCCTGTGTTTATTCTAATATCACACTAGTATGTGTCCAACGTCACCCTGTGTTTAGTCTAATCTCACACTAGTATGTGTCCAATGTCACCCTGTGTATCACCCTAGTATGTGTCCAATGTCACCCTGTGTTCAGTCTAATATCACCCTAGTATGTGTCCAATGTCACCCTGTGTTTATTCTAATATCACACTAGTATGTGTCCAATGTCACCCTGTGTTTAGTCTAATATCACACTAGTATGTGTCCAATGTCAATCTGTGTTTAGTCTAATATCACACTAGTATGTGTCCAATGTCAACATGTGTTTAGTCTAATATCACACTAGTATGTGTCCAATGTCAACCTAGTATGAGTGTAATATCACCCGCTCGTTAGTTAAATTTCACCCTGTCTCGAGTTCAATGTCACCCTTATTGAGTTCAATGTCACCCTTGTACGAGTAAAAAATCACCCTATCGTGACTCCAATATCACCTTCTAAAGAGGTTGGTGTCATCCTAGCATTGCGTATTGTATTTAACCCTTGGAGAGACAAGATGGTGAAACCAGTCTAATAGAACCACCATTGCTAAATTCGGGGTTGACACGATTGTTTGATCAGATTCGAGACCTAAAGTCAAACGTCTCAGCTGGACTAATATTTAGATTAACCTCCACACAGGACAGCACAGTATGATGACCTGTACTATTTGCTAATGTATCGAGTGTAACCTGGAGCTTCAGTCCCTTGATTCCGTTGGAATCACTTGTTTATTGTCGCAGGGCCAGTAATTTGCGGAACATCATTACATCGTTAATGATAAAATAGGTTAATGACGTTCCATAAAATGTCTAGCCTATCCACGATATGGATCTGGTTTCGATTCTAGTTTTTGGACATGTTTGTACGGTGCACACACGGGGATAGTGTAAACGCTGGATTTCACCAGTCTTTCTGAATGGATTAACACGTGGGTCATCTCATACACGTATATTCTGTTACTTGCGGTTATTTTGCAAATATAAGAATTATTTGGCCAAATTAAAAAAAGCGATCTGTCAAAAGAATATTTAGCTAATACTGTTGCGACATGATTGTTACTTATAAATATTTTACAAAAATACTGATTTTATTCATTACTAGATTGTGTAACAACCAAGGAATAAGACGGAGAAACATTGTCTCACTGATAAGCTAGCTTTTTCAGCGATGCGGTAGTAGGACCTGGGACGCGTTCACTATTCCAGCAAGGTCGCGCTTCGTCAGTGGATGGAGTCAGTGGCTGGAAGGGTGCCCGCTCGCGAGTTACAGAGGATAATCTCTTGTCAAACTGTACAGATTTAATGCATTTCGCGTGAGATTTCTTTTTGCGTTAAAATTTGATCGCGAATGCAGTTATCACACATATAATGATCAATTAGACAACGTACGGCTTACTCTCTGCTAAACGGAGCTGAATATCCCCATGATAAAGTACAGACAGGTTAACTCTGAAAATAAGTCTTTGTGATATAAAAGTTATCTACAAGTGGCAAATCAACGTCGATATGACCAATCATGCTCAAGTTTATTATACGCAAAGGTGATGCAGAAATAAGAGACAATTCTAGCTTTATTTTATAAAAACTATGACGGAGAGAGAAGAGTAAGTTCTAGCTATTTCTCATCAAAACTATGATGGAGAAATAAGAGACAATTCTAGCTATACCTTATGAAAATAATATGATGGATAGAGCAGAGAGGACTTTACTTATTGACATAAAATATAATTAAAATACAAATAACAATTACCACGATTGTTTGACTCCTGGCTCGTGGATTTAGATAACGCTTGATAGCTACCTATTCTATAGAGAAGGCCAATGTTATGTTAACACGTGAATATCAATAGAGGTTGAGTGCTGGAAGTATTCCTCACAGAGCACTAGTTGTATCCATTTCATCTTGTCCATTATCGCTGTAAAAGCTCTATGCCTTTGTCAGCACATCGCTACATGTGGCTGAAGGCACATCAAACACCATTTAATAAATAGGCTGAAGGAAGGGGACTTTGACGATTGGCTGTCGCCTGCCATATTACTAGACCATGTCGAGGATTTGTAGGTTCCAGGAGGAGCCCACGGTTATAGTCAACATACATCTCACAATCGGTTGGTAACGTGTGAAGGCAGACACGTATAAGCCTGTATCGCGTGACATAAACGCAGTTCTGCTGCAGTAAAGAGGTTGTTGACGTTTTAATGATTTAGAAGTTAAAGGAAGGAAGGGAGATGTTCAACGCATTTAGCATAGTAAAGTGAGCCATAATACCATCTTTGTGAAACCTCTATCTGTAATAGGACTATTCTGTCCTTATCAGGACATTTTTAAATAAACTGTGGCATTTTTCTCAAAGTTGTAACAGTTCCGTATGAAAGTCTTTCCAAATTTTGAATAACAAGAAATTTTTTTTGCCGCAGCTTAATATGAACCAGAAGAGTTCGATTTTAATAGAAAAAACAATCCATATCACAGTGTAAATACACAAGGTACCAAATAAAATAGCAAATGACAATCATCTCTTTAAAACAACACATACCGCAGCTTCAACAACACATACCGCAGCTTCAACACAACAAGGACAAAATGTACTGCAGCGTCAGCACAAAACAATCAAATTTATAACAGATCAACACACGACGACAAAATATACTACAGCGTCAACACACGACGACAAAATATACCACAGCGTCAACAAACGACGACAAAATATACTACAGCGTCAACACAGCATGACAAAATATACTACAGCGTCAACGCACGACGACAAAATATACTACAGCGTCAACACAAGACGACAAAATATACCACAGCGTCA